CCTGTATATCATCTTCAGAAAATCCACATTGAAACAAATGATCAGTTATTGGACAATCATCCTGATCAACATTCATGTTGGCTTCATGGCAAAATGACACATAATCATCTAAAAATTCCTCCATTTCAACAAGATCACTGTCAATGGATTGTGCATCTTTGATAGGATGCTCAGGCATTGTATCACTTTTACAAATGATATATCTACACCACTGACATTTACAGTTTGGAAACCATCTGGAATTAATTCTTGTTTTATGGCTACTTGTTCATCCACATACTCCTCAACTTTATTGAGCATTTCATGTAACACATGATCTCTCTCCATTTCATGTTTCCACATCTTGACTGTTGCATTGAAGCTGTTTCCCATCTCATCTAATTTATTTAGAGTACTGCTATAGCTGACTGATATCCCCCAACAATTGGCACGAGCAAACCCCTAAAAAAGAAAAACTATCAGGGAAAATACTACCAATAAGTCAACAACAAGAAACATAATAATCGTACTTTGCCAATTAATTCAAATATGATTTTTGCAATCAGATGCATATTGTAAATTATCACAACCCAACATATAATACCACTCCTGAATGCTTTACATGCTGTCGCATGACCATGACATTAGTCTTGATTGGCTACAATTGTTCCTAAAAGCCTTGAACCTCTTTCAACATTTCCATCTGGGGGCCAGGCAGGGAAAGGAGGTGAAGGAGGGTGAGGTGATGAAAGTAGAAATGTCATATAAACACTAATTTTGCTTAGGGTCCAAGGTATTTTGGCAACGAATGCAAGTAGCTATATTTGTCCCATGTTTATTGTATATGATATAATACATACACTGTACCTGCTTTTTTTCCCCACTGTGCCATAAAACACCCATTGAAAACCTTTAAGCAAGAGCAGACAACTTCGGGCATCTTGTCTTTAATAGAATGGATGCTGCAAAGATTATTGATGGTGCACAACCACTTAAGTTTGATTGGCTTGGTTTCTTCTTTTGGTTTACTATGCAGCTTTGTAAGCAGCCATATAATGTAGGTGCTCTTTCAGACAACTCTTTCTCACTTTATTGCTCGGAAAAGTTCACCAATTCTTCCACCTTCGTCTTTCTGACAAGGCTTGGTTGTTTGTCACTACCCAAGGCACTGGACTCTTTATTTATCTCACTATGAACCTTTGTCAATACAGATTCTCTTATTGATTGATGTCTCCAGATAGCATTCGCCCCCCCCACTGTAGTCTTTATTGGCCAGTTGTCTGATAATGGTTGCATCAATATCTGGTCTGATCACTTTTTTCACTTGGCCTGATGGATAATCTATGCAGACCTAGAAAAAGAAAAATTAAAGAATTAAAAATAATTAACCAAGATCCCTGTTAATTTCCCTATTTTCATGTCCAACCAGGTCCCATGTGATTATGACAAAAGGTATACATATTAGGGCATCTCTAAATATTTAAAGAAAGAAATAATTATAATTAACAAAGTAATATTTACAAATAATACATTAAATATCTGCAATAATCATATATACATAGATGTAATATTTACACTTGCCAGAAATTCTAAGGTGGTGGCACAGAAGTATTTAAACAAGGACCCTGACTATAAAAGGGATAGCTCCTCCCCCGTCTTGTAACGCAATCTTTGCTTCCATGGCTAATCGAAGATGGCTGACTAATGGAAGGTGAAGGGGGAAAAAGAGATTTGTACACGAAGACCGATATCCTTGTCTTGTTTCAATTGATTTCCACTTGAAAATGTTTTTATTGACGATTAAAAAGGGACGAATGGAGAAATACTGATCTTCATTTGCAAAACTCAAAAAATTAGGCTATCGCAATTTGAATTTCGCGCTCCTAACGGCTCCTCCTATCGCGAGATGGTCGTACTGGCCCTCTGACTCCCCTCCGTTTGCCTCAACTTCTTGAGCCGTCGATATCATTGACTAGAGGATCTCAGTACTGTGACATGCTCAGAGAGAGTGGTTTTCATGTACATATATGTACATTTATGTACATGTATGTAAATGTGTGTACGTGTATGTTGCGACATAACTCATCTTCCACTTCGAATTGATCCATTTTACGGTTGCTACAGTCGCGCACTAACTAGTCTTTAGCTTTAAAATTGCATTTTATTTTGCCATGGCGGATTTTCCATCAAAAAAAGCCAAAATAGCGGCGCGAGGTCTACGAGTCCGTTATACACTGGAGCTGGCGGTCGAACCCGGAATGGAAGAGCGATTGGAAAGCGTGAAGACAAGAATTCAGCGGTTGAAGGAACGCCTTCATTTAGCGAGTCGAACACCGATGGCAAATGTTATTTTGATGGAACGACTCTTAGACTTATTCGAATGGTCTGAACAAAGAGGTATGGTAAGTGAAAGTCACTCCTCTTTGTTTACATCTTGCTCGTTCGCTCAGGCTTCTCATCTCGCCAGCGACGCGGCCACCCAAACCGACATAAACGGGTCCAATTTTTTTATCGCACGTTT